CATCGCACATCGCCGTATCGCCGTACGGGCGACCGCGTCACGCACACAGCGAATTACACCGACACGCACTCACACGATTGTATCACTCGCTCATACATAACGATCTTACATACGATACGCTGCGCTCACCTAATCATTGTTATACGTTTGCGCACTCACTCCCTCGTCACTCGTCTCACATAATAATACATTCACACACCTATACACGCTCACACACATAAAATACACACGCTGTACATATACACCACAACACGCAATAAATTATATTGTACCTAACATCACTTTCGTTCGTCTCTCGATACCCTTTCACGAGCCCGGATCCCGACCGAGTTATCCGTCACCGCCTCGCGAAAGCGGTTTGTTACATTTATAATGAGCGCGGTAAATCTATCGCGAAAGTTCTCCCATTCCGCATAATCGCCATCAAACGGAGGTAAACGTATCGGCGGAAGATGGGAGAGCGAAAGAGCGGACGCATCGGAATTTGAATGTCCACTAACGAGAGATTGGTTCGGACTCACAGGTGGCTCGAACTCCTCCAAGCAGTCCATTATGTAATCCAACGTGGTGGTGTAGACGTCCTCGGTGCGGTCGAACATCGCCTTGCTGAAGTATTCCAGCGTGGCTCGGGAAGATGGAGGATTTGTCTGCGTCAAATGAACGTGGCCCTCCTGATAGGGACGCCAAAGCTCCTTGAGAGCTCCGATCCGAGAGCGAACCTTCGCTGACGTCAGATTATTTTTTCCGACTTTCTTAAAGTTGTCCAACGCCCGCTCGATAGAGTGCTGCAGCACCAATTGTGCAGACAGCTGTTCCGACATGATGTCGATTGACTTTCACAATTGACGATAATGTTCTGACATCCACACGCACTCACAATCCGGCTCGGAAGGACCAGTTATATGGGCGCGGTCGAGCCGCGAGACGACCGGACGCGCGAAAGAAACACCGGAATCGCCCAGTGATGAGCGCGGAGTACGCGTGACGCGATTTCGTAAAATCGCTGGAGGGCAGACGAACACCAGAGTAACAGACAAATGAACTGAGATATTGTCTCGTGCATACAAAAAAGTTAATCTTTATTATGAGATGGGTGCACAAATCACAATAAGTGAAGCCTGTGGAAACCCTCGACAGGCGGTGGCTCCCGTGTTTTGCCGAAATCACTGTCCGACGGACGTGAGACTGACGGCTTTCCGACGGAACTCGGAATTCTTCGGCGACCGGCGCAGAGACCCCAAGGGTTAAGATCGGGCCGATGACCGGCCCGGTATATTGATTTCTTGGCGAGCGATCGCGAGCACAAGACTTTACGGAACGAACTGAAGCGAGCAAAGGCCGTTCCGTGTGTGGAACACACGGGCGCAAGATGCAGCGATTTTGTGTGCTTCGCATGCGAGAACGGGCGCAAGACTGCCGAGCCGAGGACCGAATTTAATGACGAGGAATTTCGCCGAGATCTTACGCTGTTTGTCGCGTACCGGATTGGTCTCGATAATATCGTTCGATCGGCTCGGCGTATCGCGATCTAGGCGAAAAAAACGGCTTGAACATGCAAAAAAGAGGACGTACAGTCGCGATAGCGGGTACGAGCAAGTTTTTGCGCGACCGAATTCCTTTGTGTGTTTTGAAATAATATTTAATTTTCTTGCTCGAAATTTGTTGAGTGTGTCGAATCCGAACAATTTTTATACCTTTTTTTTTGATGACGGAGGGGAAATGCCTTTACGCATACCCCGCCTCGATGGGGTTCGAGGCGGGGTTATGTGGGGCTCACTCCCGGCCTAAACAAACGGCCGGGGGACTACCCACTAAAACCCCTCCGGGTGATCTAGGCCCGTGCGTTAGAGAAGATCTCTCCGGAAACTGGCTGTTGCACTACTTCGGAGAGGCCTTACGCCTGCGAGCATGTCCGGTGGGGGGAGTATTGATCTCCCCCCTAGAGTCCCCGTCATCTTGGGGACTCCCGCTCGTATTGGGGAGAGGGGGACTACCACCCCTCTCTACAACTTCCCGCCGTTGGCGTGGCGGGGTAGACGTGAGCGGGCCCGAGTACCCCACTCGGGTCGCCGGCCACCAGGCCCGCGTGTCTCGCGGGCCCTGCGCGTCGGCAGGGGGAGCCGACATGGACCGGAGCCAATAGGCCCCAGATCCGCTCCTTCGCCCGCGTCACCCCGTTGCCGGGGAGGGTCTCGTGGGCTGCGAGGGACAACTGTCCCTGCGCCCATCAACCCCCTCCGTTGAGGCCTCCTGGCGCGGCGCTGCGCCGCGCCTCTGCGGCCGGCAAACACGGAGGGTTGGCGGATCCTGCCCGAAGGCACTTCCCGCGTCCTCCCCCGGCCCCCGGTCACTCCACTCCGTTGGAGGGCTCCCCGGCGTCCGCCGGGGAGTCTCTCCCTTTCCCGCCATCCGCCCTCTCCACCCATTTGTTCAGGCGGGGGCGGATGGCCGCGACGACGCGCATCCCCGAAGTATCTCGGGGATTGGAGAGGTCTTCCAACCACCTCTCCAGCATGCGCCGCCGAACAGGTGCCGGACGAGGTGGTCTACCAGCAAGCGTTCCAACAGCTTGCCCGCCTCGTCCAGCAAACATATCGGCCTATAGGCAGAAGGGGAGTTCCCTGGCTTGCCCCCCTTTGGGATGAGGACCAATCGGGCCCTCACCCAAGCCGAGGGGAAATACCCTTGCCTGAGGCAGCTTGTAAAGAGCTGCCTCAGGCGCTCGGACAGGTGGTCCAAGGCCAGAACCTAGACCCGGCCGGGGATACCGTCTGGGCCCGGGGCCTTATTGCCCCGCAGCCTTAATCGACGGATTACCCCGGCCATCTCGTCCCTCGTCACCTCCAAGTCCTCGGTCCATGGAGCGGCGATCTCCTGGCCGCCGCTCGAAAACGGGGGACCCTCCAAAGGAAAGAGGGCCCCCAAGACCTCATCGAGGACCTGGGGTTCAAGGGGCTCCGTCACCGGGAGCGCCCATGATCTCAGCCTATTAAGCACAAGTTTATAAGGACGCCCCCATGGGTCTGAGTTCAGGGAGTGGAGTAACTCGTCCCACTTCCTGGCCTTGGCCCGCCTGATCGCCGCGCTGAGGGCGTTCCGTGCGATTCGGAACCCCTCATACGCGATAGCCGTCCTCTCGGCGTCGTTACGACGCCGAGCCCGGGTGAAGCGGCGTCTGGCGGCTATCGAGGAGCGCCGTAACTCGGCTATCTCCTCGCACCACCAGTACGCCGCCCTCCGCGTGCGGGGGTTGGTCCGGAGCATCGCAAAATCGCAAGCATCGCGAAGCGCGCCCCGGAACCAGTTTACTTCCCTTTCTATCCCCCGCCCTTCACCCCCTGCACGGCCAATCGGCCGCGAGGACAGCTGCGATCAGCCTGTCCGAGTTCAGCTTCCGTAGGGCCCATCTCCGTGGCCGGGCATCTCCCCGGCCTTGGGAGCGGCTGAGCACCCCGTGGCGGGTGGCGGTAAGGACCATCTCTATATAGAGATGATCCGATAATGTTTCACACTCCGTCGCCACCCGCCAATTACTAACTAAGCGCGCGGCGGCAGGGGTAGCCCAGGATAAATCCGAGACCGACTGCCACCGCACGAGGGTGCTCCTCGACCCCGTGTTAAGCAAACACAGGCCGAGTACCGCCGCCCAGTCCTCTAGGACCCTGCCTCTAGCGTTCGTGAACCGGGGACCCCAACGCGTCGACTTCGCGTTAAAGTCCCCGGCCACGATTACCGGACGGGGCAGTTGGCGGCGATAAACAGCCGCCACCCCGTCCAGAAACGTCTCGTAATGTGCGAGGTCCACGTTCGGGGAGACATAACATCCCACCACGGAGATGGGCCTCCAGCGAACCGCCACTACTCCCCGCCCCGCCTCTACCGGCGTGCAGCAGGGAAGTAGGGGGTCGCTCCTCCACGTGATTGCGACAGAGCCCGCCCCGTCGCCAATCCAACATGGACTAGTTTCGGGGACTTGGTAGGGCTCTGCCGCAATCCCCAATCCACAACAACGCTCCGCTAGCGTATGCAGGAAGAGGTCCTGCGCCTGGCGGGCGTGGTTGAGATTGGCCTGTAAAATCCTGAAAGCCGCTATTTGTCGCGGCCCTCAAGGTCAGCCATTCTTAACTCCGACAATGTTGTCGGAGACGAGACGGCCGTCAGCGCGGCCCTGAAAGGCCTTTTCTTCTTGGGGGCCTCCTCTGAGACCCACTTATCGTCCGCTCCGCGCTTGAGAGAGTCGGACTCAATCTCCATGATCTCGGCCAGCTTAACTGGCCGAGACCCTTCGGCGGAGGGAAGCGTTACGCGCCTCCCTTGCGCCGGCCTTTTCTTTTTCGGGGGAGTGCATTTCGCACTCCCCACACGATGGTCCGAGGGGCGGCCGAGACCGGCACACACCGGGCACCGCACCCGCTCCGTACAGTCGCGGGCCAGGTGCCCCACCTCGCCACACCTGTAGCAACAGCCCCGTCGGTCGACGAGGCTGCTGCAATGCTGCTGGACATGTCCCCTTTCTATGCAGCGATAACACTGCAAGGGGCGCTTGTCCAGCAGCTCCACCGCGGCGCGGGACCACCCAATTTAGATGGCCCGGGCAGCCGCGATCCTATTGGCCGCCGCCAGGGGGCACTGCACCCACACGGTGCCCATGCCTCGGACCGGGAACTTTATGTCCCCGACCCGGACATCCCCCGGCTAGCAGCCACACCTCGCCGCTACGGCCGACGCCACATCGCTGGTTCGCAGCGACCTATCGAGGCCCCTGAGCCGGACCTCCGCTTTACGGACGGGGCGGACAATCTTCACGCCCTCATTTTCCGCGAAGACACGGCGCAGGTCCCCGAACAGGGCATCGGTTCTCTGAGCGGACGTTGGGCCATGCTTCTCCCCGGAACCGGGGAGCTCCACGACCATGGCGCCCATGGCCGCCTCCCTGACTCGGAGGGAGTCGATCCCAAGTTTTTTGAGGTCGACCTCCCCCCTAGCTTTCTCCAGGGCCGCCTCGTATCCCCCATCCGCGCAGGTGATTGTCACCGCAGCGATACGGGGGGGCCTCCTTCTAGCAGCCCCCCTCTTCGGGGGCTGCTGTCTGACCTGCTGCTGTCGCTGCCTTTTTTGCTTTTCGGAGCAGGGGAGCCGCGGGCAGCGGGCAACTCTTGCCCTCTGGGCCGGGCCAGTTGATCGGACTCGACCCTTTGCGCTCTCCCCTCCCTCCTCCCTACGACCCGGGACCAGGGTTCATCCTGGCTCCAGGCACGCGGGAGAGGAGGGAGGGGCCCCCGCGTTCGCGGTGGCCGTTGGGCTCCACCGGGGGTTGGCATCTGCCGGCGCCCACGCGCGGGCCCCGCGACGGAGGGGTGAGGGAGGGGGCCTCGGGCCCCCCCCTCCCTTGTCAAGGCTGTGGAGCACCTGAGAGGAGAAAACTCGCGGGCCGGCGGGCGATAAGCCGTCGTGGAGGGCCCGCCAGGCCCACCGCGGCCCAGCGCCGCCCGCATGTCGACGAGGGCACCGATCTGCTCCGTGTACCAGTCGTACCAAGATCTGGTGCCCTCGTCGTCGATCCCTGGGGGTTAGTTTGCCGGGAGAGGGGCCGGTGTTTCCCTCAAAAAGGGCCTCATGGCCACTCCCTCCTCGACTCCCCTCGCACACCACTAAACGTTGGGGGCTTAGGCCCCTTACCCCCCCCCCGTACGTCCTCATGGGCCAACGTGGGGACACAAGTCCCATACCCCCCTCCACATGGAGACGTTGGGGAACGGAGGATCATACCCCCCTCCCCGCGAGCCGTTGGAGATACAAGTCCCCCTCCTCTGCGGGCTTC